GTTTAACTTTTTCACTCTTACACTAAATACTGAGAAAAAGAGCAGTTTTATAAACTTTAATCAGTTTTTCTGTTAAAAGATGACGATCAGTCGGTCCTAAAATCTGCCTGAACTTATTTAGAAACATAAAACTTTTTTATCTGAAGTGTTTCTCACATGATTGTAAAATTATTTAATCAGGACAGTGCAATTAAAACATAAAACGTAAAAACATTTGATGCATTGCACCAGATTTAGCCTATAAGGCTGTCTGTAGTCCCTGCAGACAATAAATATTTGTGATTGAAGTGTTGAGTAGATTTGAGATATTCGTCTCCATATCCCCACTGGAATAAAACATTAGATACAGTGCACCCAGTTTAGCTATAAGTTAATTTGACATCTTTATCTCCACCAGACAATAAACAAATATCACTGAAAGGTAATAAAAACATCCAAAATAAATAAATACATGCATTTAACAACTGTAATCACGCCCACCTCCACCCCACTTTCCAACACATATAATTAATGTAAACATTATAACTCATAGTGTAATTTAGTGATTGCAACATTGGGTAGATTTAAGATATTTTTAAGATTATTTTAAAAACTAATAAAAGAACTACAGGTTTTTACATGACTCCACTGAGCGATGGCTTCATGCTCGTCCAAAGGCTGAGCGTGGAGCAGGACCCTCACAGATCTGCCWGGATGTTCTGGTGACGCAAAGAAACAGCTGAACGATAAAAAAAAACTGTTTGCAAACAGATCGGAGCTAAACCGTTTAAAATGTGATCAACTGTTTCCATTATCATATAATCCAGCTGATCAGGATCGTTTGTGATGTGTCCTTCCAGCCAGGATCAAGACCAAGAGCGGTTCCCGCCTGTGCTCACAAGGGCGCGGTGTCTCTGTGAGGGCTGCATCATCCAGGGCCGGGAGGACCCCACCTACAACTCTGTGCCGCTGTGTGTCGACATGATGGTCCTGAGGAGGGAGACGTGTCCACACGAGCCCAGCAGATACGTGATCAGGAAGAAGTTCATCAGCATCCCTGTGGCCTGCATCTGTGTGAGGCCCACGTACTGACCCAGAACCATCAGAACCATCAGAACCATCAGAACCATCAGAACCATCAGGGCTTACATTTATCTGCTCCACAGCAGGTTCAGTCCCCGCTAACCAGCAGGTCTCTGCCCCCCTCAGCCTGAGAGTGACCCAGATGTTGTCCAGCTGCAGGTTCTGGTCTGTGACGCTGCTGTAGCTGCAGCTGACCACTAGATGCCACTGGTGGTCCGTGTTTGAGGCTTCAAATCTTTATTTTTGKYKCTTCYGGTCCCCTGGCTGATGGAGAACCTGCAGGATCAGAACTCRGAGGTGGGACCTTTACAAACCTTACAGTTTGTAAAGACAGCTGCTCTAACCGGGTCCATAAAGCTGATTGGGTCTGGACCTCACAGGTCCGGTCAGAGTTTAGGACAGGGGTCTGCAACCTTTATAATTAATCAAGAGTCATTTCTGCTCCTCAGCTCACTAACACAATGTGCCCAGAGCTGCGTAATAAGGTACAACTGTGACTATCAACTGGTGGTCCGTGGGCCTTTTCAAGGCCTTTTTGTGAAACTTTACGGCCAGTGGAGGTGACATTATAAAACTAAAAAATATATTGCAAATTTTATTATTTCTTATTTTATACACTTCAGGACAAAAGAAAAAATATTCATGCACATGAAAAATATTGTATGTAGTTTTTACCAAATTTCGTAAAAACTAGTACAACTGAATTATTCAGGCATATTTTTTATTATGCAGTCTTAAAGGTGTTAGTATAAAAACAAAAAAATATATATTTTGTTATGTCTGGTCACATTTTCAAAGAGCCACATGTGGCCCCAGAGCCGCAGGTTGCAGACCCCTGGTTTAGAACCTCCTACAGAGATTAAAATCTAAGAATTAGTTTCCTCTTTTAAAATAAACTCACTTATAGTTTCAGCATTTCCTCTCATATTTAACCTGAGAGACCTTCAGGTTGAACTCAGACTAAACACAAAACTTTCACGTTATTATAATTATTGTTATTTATGTTTTTAAGATTGAAGTGTAATCATCATAATAAACAAACACGAAAACTGACAACAGATGTCAGTTCAATTCAAAAATACTTTATTAATCCCAAAAGGAAATTAGATGATTATGAGATAAGATGCCATAAATATGAGATAACACTTCATAATTAAGATATATCAATTCTGGGATAAGACGTCATAATTACAAGATAATTACGAGATAAGTTGTAATAAATGTGAGATAAAATATAATTTTAAGATCATTTCTTGTAAAACTACAGGATTACCTGGCCACTGCTGAAGAATCACTGCACAGCAGCAGAAACGTCTCATAAATATAAGATAAAGAGTCAGTTTGTTTTCCTTTATGAATGTGAAACACTCCAGTAGATTAAAGAATCAAAGTAGGCGTGTTGTTAAAAATGTGTGCAGCCAAGAATGCAGTTTTACAAACCACGCACCAGAATCCTGTAATTTCAAGTCACTAACGTCTCCAAGCGTTGCAGCGTTGTAAAAAACTGGGTTTGAGAAAACCTCAAACAGAAAAAAAAAAGATCTGAGKTGTTTGAGTTTTATGAAACGATTAAATCAAATCAAAACCAGAGGCGGAGAAATGTTTGTACTTTTCCTCCGTGTGTGAGGGATAAACTGAGCTGAGAGGGTGATGATGATGATGATGAAGAAACACCAAACTCAACCAGCTCCACCCAGATCTATTGTTTTATAGATGTGTTTTAGTKTTTTGAAGTTGTTTTTAAACTTGAACCTGTAGTTGAGCTGACTGGAACTAACTGTATCTGAAATGTGTCCTAGAGCTTTAAATGAACTTACTGAAAGCTAAAAATATTAAGAAGTTTAAGCTTTAAAATCCACCTGTTTYCCTGGTTTTACTGCACAGAATCCAGGTGTTAAACAGCTGTTTGATGTTTTAATTAACAGCGTGAGCGATCCTGTTCTGCATTTAATGTTTTGATCGGATCTTCAGTAACTTGAATAAAACTCACCTGATTACCTCATTACGTTGGAGCAGAAAGACTCCAGTAAAACATAAATACCTCTGTAACACAGCCAAGGTACAGAAATACACAAAGTGTTTTTATGGCGTTAAGCTAAAACTGTTGAAATGTCCCTTTAAACCTGAACAGGAAGATATAAAACTCCCTCACAGACCTTAAAGATTCATTTAAAAACACAGAAGCATTAAAATGTTAGTTTCATTTGTTTCAGTGTACTTTAAAAACAGAATTAATTGAGTTTTTTTATTTGTTTGTTGTTTTTTGACCAAAGTGCTGCAGATGTGACAAACTGAATGTAAAAATTAAAAGCGAGCCCGACGTGAGGAAAACTTCACGGTTGTGTTTATCCTGTGAAGAATCTCCTTCATCAGTTTGTTTGTACTTTTATAACAACTGGATCAAATTAAAGATTATTTTTTATCTCAGCTGATTCATATCTTTTATTTTTTCTTTGTCTTCACTCTAAAAAAAGCTTTTAGATTTTAAATGTGGAAATCAACTTGATCCTTAATTATTTTAGTCAAACCTGGAAAACAAGATGATACACAACTTGAACAGATCTAAAACTGAGATAATTACAAACTCAGGCGCTTCACTTTTAACTGATTCACCTAAAACTAAAGCACAGAGCAGACAGTGAAGAACTAATAACTAACTGTGTRAATGCAGAATAAAAATCTAAAAGCATAAAAGTACGAAGACTTGTTTTTGTGAGGCTGAAGTGTCGCAACAATAAGACGGGAAACCTGGACCAGATCCATGATTTTAATTCAACAGAATGAAAMCTCAAACCCTGAAGGGATGAAAAAACAGAATCCAGTTTTAAATAATCAAAACTAAATATATATATTTTTGCTATTATTCTTTATTTAAACAGCACGTTTTATAACACAAAACAAGACAAATATTGAAAGGTAAATGCTGTTTGTACACAAAGTTTATATTCTATAAATTTCATTGATGTATGGTTGGAAAAAATATTTTAGATGTACAAGTTAGCCGATATTTTCTACAGCTCTATGTTATAAATCAGTTCCAATGGTTATTCCTTTGATAAGTCATAATTAGGGAGATCAAACTGAATGTGAAAGATGGAATGTCAGGAACATTGGGAGAATCCACTCAGAGTGGWTCATTCAGACATGATGCAACATCAGACTCCAGGACTTCTCTCCTGTGGGAGCTCTGGTGTGTGTTCAAGTGGCTGCTTTGCCGGAATGTTTTCCCACATATTTTACAGGAATAAGGTTTTTCACCTGTGTGAGTCCTCATGTGGTACATCAGGCTGGTCTTGGAGCCTAAACATTTTCCACAGCTGTTGCAGACGTAGGGATTGTTGGCCGCATGAGTCTTCATGTGAACGGCCAAAGCACCGGTTCTGACGAAACCTTTCCCACATTCTTTACAATATGACTTCTCACCGGTGTGTTTTTTCATGTGAGTGGATAAATGGATACCCTGACTGAATGTTTTCCCACAGACCTGACAGGAATAGGGTTTTTCACCTGTATGAGTTCTGATGTGATGAAGCAGGCCGGTGCTGGATCTTAGACACTTCCCACACATCTTACAAGAAAACGGCTTTTCGCCCGTATGAGTCAACATGTGAGTGTTCAAAGCCCCCCTCTGAATAAAACCTTTACCACACTCTTTGCAGGAAAACGGTTTCTCGCCTGTGTGGATTCTCATATGATAAGTCAAACTGTTGCTCTGAGTGAAGCTTTTAAGACAAACTGTACAGGAAAAGGGTTTCTCACCCGTGTGCCTTCTCATGTGGCGTACCAAATCGTTTTTTAATCCAAATCTGTCCCCACAGCTCTGACAGGAGTACGGTTTCTCACCAGTGTGAGTTATCATGTGGCGTATCAAAACATCTCGTCGTGCAAAACTTTTCAAACAAGTTTCACAAGAAAAAGACTTCTGAACTTGGTGAGTTTTTTGGTGAAAATTCATCAACGACAAGTCGGAGAACGTTTTCCCACAGGTGTTGCAGTCGTAAGGTTTTGTTTCTTCCGTGTCCAAACCCGGTTTTTCCTGCTCCACTTTGACCTCTGGAGGTTCTGGTTCCTCCTGTTCCTCTTTAATCTGTGAAGCTCCTGGTTTGTCCTGATCCTCCTTTTGAAGAACTCTAGTCTGGTTCCARACGTTGTCCTCCTCAGTGGCTTGTTGCTGAGGGGGGTCTGAGAAGAACAAAGTGACCCAGAAACAGATTATTAATCTGATCAGAGGAAAACATCTCTGAGAAAAACCTTGGTTTTGTTTTTAAACTCTAAAACATGAAGCMATCGTGAAAACATGTAGTGAAACATAGAGTTTATATTTTCAGGTGAGTCTGAGGGAAACATGGGCGTGTTCTTGAACCAGAATATTAAACCATCTCAACATGAGGAGAAACCAAATGAGGTGATGGAGCGTGGGAACTGCAGCTCTGATGAGCTCAGACATCATCCTGTTTCTGTCAGGCCTGTGTTAACGCTCCATCAGCATTTATATTACAATGATTCCAGGAAATCTATTRTGTAAAATATATTTACATGTTATAAAGATTTATTTTTGTTTTTTTCTTCAGTAAAACTCAGTTGATAGTGTCTCATGGTTTGATGTGGAACAACAAGCATTTTATCTAAGGACAAAACTGTCACGTCCCTGAAAGACACGAGCTGTAAGCTATGCTGCGTAGTCTTTGGSTTTCTGAGATAAATATCACAGCCTCGTGAACAGTGGGGTCATGAAACTCAACATTTTTCTGTACGCTTTGGGGTAGGGGGTGGGGGTCTCCTTAAAGTGTTATACGCTGTGTGCTAATGATAATGTTGAGAACTGTGAACGGCTCCTCAGTACCATGAAGTCATACTGCAAGGTGAAGGACATGTTAAGAGTTAACCAACATAAAAACATGAAAACACACRTTTTATATTTGATTTCATTTGAACTTTAGTATCAATAATCTGTCTGATTAATCAGATCGGCTCAGAGGAGATTCTGACAAACCGTCCGGCGGCTGAGGCAGCACTTCACCAACACTGTGCTCAGTGAAGGGGGGTGCTGTTGACCTCAACCAGTGATGTCATCAGGAAGCAAGCAGGGGTCTCTGCAGAACGTGTTGTCCTGTGGGCGGAGACGGCCCGAGACGTGATTGGTCGGATTGATGGTGGGGTTTGAGGAGGCTGGAGGTAGCGGGGAGTAGTTTGATCGTCAGGTAGGAAGCAACATGTTTTTTAAGATTAATTTTAGTCATAACTTGACAAAGGAAAATGCTAGCTGCACGAAATTTGAATGTCGTACATGTGAAAGGATGTGTAACAATATGGATTGTTAAAACATCCCTAACC